GTGCCAATCTTCCTCTACTTTGTATGTGAGTCACTGCCACAGCATGGCTGATGAATGGTGTAGGTCTGCACCCGGGATCCAAACCCACAATCCCGGGCCACTGAAGCAGAGCACACGGAACTTAACCCCTGTGCTATGGGGCCAGCCTGGAAAGATGAACAGAATTTTGACAGAGATGGAGGAAGGATGTTCCAGGTAAAGGAACAACACATGAAAGACACAAAGGCGGCTTGTTAGCAGAAGGAACTTAACGCTTATTGGGCACTTAACACACGTCATATTTAATCCTCTAGCAAGCCTGTGAGGTGGGAATCACTCTTTTGAGGAAGATTAGCCCTGAGCTAACATCTGCCGCCAATCCTCCTCTTTTTGCTGAGGAAGACTGCCCTGAGCTAACATCCGTGCCCATCTTCCTCCACTTTATATGTGGGACACCTGCCACAGCGTGGCTTGATAAGCAGTGCGTAGATCTGCACCCAGGATCCGAATCAGTGAACCCCAGGCCGCTGAAGCAGAGCATGCGAACTTAACTGCTACACCACCCAGCTGGCCCTGGGAATCACTCTTATTTTACCATGAAGAGACCGCGGCTCAGACATAGAGCACAGAGGCCGGGTTCCTACCCAGACGCCTGCAGTTCCAGCCTGTGCCTGGTGAACAGGATGGGTCTTCCCTCTTCACCCACTGCCCCCAGAGCAGGCAGAATCTTCAGACAGGGTCCCATGGTGGCAGACTTTGGCTCTGTTCCTTCTAAAAGGCAAACGGGATAGATTCAGGCCTGGATTGCAAGGTTTTCAGGCTGAGGGTACAGCTCATGGAAAGCCCTAGAGGGGCTGGCCTGGTGGCATAGTGGTTAAGTTCGCACGCTCCACTTCAGCAGCCCAGGATTCACAGGTTTGGATCCTGGGCGTAGACCTAGGACCGCTCATCAAGCCATACTATGGCGGCATCCCACAACAAAATAGAGGAAGATCGGCACAGATGTTAGCTCAGTGACAATCTTCCTCACCAGAAAAAAAAAAAAGGGTCTAGAGGCCAAGGAGCCTGTTCTGTTGAAGCTGCTGTGGCTGGAGGGTTTGGCCAGGGTGCTGCCTTGGAGAGGGAGCTTTGCTTGCTCAGAATAGCCTAGGGATAAACCCCAAGGGAAGATTCTAGAACTTCACCCTTAATAAGAAAGCAGAGCCCATTCCATATCTCCAGAAGGGGGTCAGGACCTTTAAGAACTTTGTTAGTGTCTGGAAATCCTTGTTATTTCCCCAAAGTGGTTACTTTGGTAGTCTCTGTTCCGTTACAGTGATTAATAGTAAAACCCTCAGGGGAACGAGGAGGGGACTCCATTTCGGGAATTCCCACCGTGTGACAAGCACTGCCTTTGATTTCTCCTCTGATCCTTTCTAAAACCCCGTGAGGTAGATATTTTTATCCCCATTTTACAGATGAGTCCACTGAGGCTTAGGATGATGACGCCCAGGGTTCCACAGTTATACATGGTGGAGCTGGGATTCAAATCAGGTGTGACTGCCAAGCCTGCCCTAATTTTGGCAGCCGGGATAATGTGATGGTTAAGAGGAGGTGATATCACAGGGAGGAGAGAGAGGGCTGGGGCCGGGGCCGTCCCGGCAAAGGAAACAGCACGTGCAATGCCCAGGCCTGCAAGTGGTTCAGAATCTGGTGGGGCAAAGCCGGTGGAGATGCAGCAGGCACCAGATCAGGAAAGGCCTGGACCAGGGTCAGGGGACAGGTTTGGATTTTATCCAGTGGGTGATGGGGAGCCGGAGAAGGATTCCAGGAGGGGAGCAGCCAGGTCCAATCTACTTTAAAAAGATCCCTCTGGGGCAATGTGGATGCTGAATCACACAGGACACCCTAGAGACCTGAGCCCCTGAAGATCTACACTGGAGACCAGGGGGCCTGAACTGTGACAGCAATGGCAAACTGGGTGCGGGGCCTGCTCCCAGGAGAGAAGGCCTGCAAATGAACAGTGGTGGGAGGTGGGGCTCAGCTCTCGGGTGGGCCTGCCCCTCTCGGCCTCCTCCCTCTCTCCACTGCTGTCCTCTGCCTTTCCTCTAGCCAGCGGGCTCGGGGCTGGGCAGGGCTGCATCCATCCAGAATCACACCCATCAAAGCCACGTAGAGTCTCCAGAGGTTTTGCCACACCCAGGGGGCTTGTGACGGGGGTGCTCAGAGCCCTGAGGCAAGGTAGGACCTTCCAGGCCCGGCCCAAGGCAGTGGACGAGGCTGGTGGAGCACTACGCTGCCCTGGGTTCACAGATTCAGCCACACCAGTTTCCTGCCCCGACGTTAGGTCCCTGTCTGTGAAACGGACAAGATGAGCCAAAGTCACAGGGTTGCTGCGGGGTTAATAAGCCATTAGCAAAAGACATAGCTCACAGTGCATGAGCCATATGTGGCCATAATAGCGCGTTTAATCCTCACAACAGCCCTGTGAGACAGAAACTGTGCTTATCCCCGCTTCACAGATGGGAAACTGAGGCTGTGAGGGTCAGGGAGATGGGTGACTCCAGCCTGCTGAACATTCCTCAAGGGAGGCAACTGGGGACGATGGGCACTGTCTCTCCCCTGGAGGTGGACCCTGTCCTGGGCGGGCCAGCGCTTCGGGCTGGTCCTCCAATGCCCCGCCAGGATCCCGAGCGGGGAGGGTCAGCTTTTTCTTCCTCTCTTTTTTCCAGGGATTTGGGGATTTGCTTTGAGCACCCGACGGCCAAAGCCCCACCTCCCTCCCCAGGACCAGCCGCTTATCTCCCAAACAAGCCTCACTGTAGACTTTTACTACGGGGAAGCTCCATGAGATCAGAAGCCACAAACCCAGTTGCAGGTCACTCCCTGCTTCTTCACTTCACTGTAGCTGCTCAGACCTCCAGTAAATTCCTACTAAGAGCCCGGCTCTTCCTTGCCTCGGGGCTCCCCCTTTACTTACTGGCTTCACTTAAGCTCTCTGGGCCTCAGTCTCCACATCAGTAAAATGGAGTCATAAGCGTACCTGGTACCTACCTTGTTAACAAGGAGGGCTCCATCAGTGCTGGCCGCTCTTCCTTCTGCCTGAGTCTCTGCTCTTAGCTTGGCTCCTCCTCCTCCTCCGGGTCTCAGCTCAAAGGTCATCTCCTCAGAGAGGCCCTCCATGACCACAAGCTCTAAAGGAGCCCCTGTCACTCTCAGTCCCATCCCTGGGACCTGTGGTCTTTACAGCACTTACAAACGGAAACCATTTCATTCACTTACTGCCTCGTTTTTTCTCTCTTCCACTATAATGTCAGCCCCAGGAGGGGTTTCCTGTCATGTTCACGGATGTATTTCCAGAGCCCAGAACAGAGGAGATGCTCCTTAGAAAGATCTGCTGAAGGAACGGTCATGTGCTCTAGAGATCATTTCCCTCTCCTGACCCAGGCTTTCCCCTGTGTGACACGAGCATGATCGTGCTGACCTTGCAAGACTGTCATAAGGCTGAGTGATGCTGTTTTAAAAGGAGGAGGCAGTCCGCGCACAGGGAGACCCACCCGGCCCAGGCCCCGTGGGGAGGAAGCTAAGAAACTCACCCTGATTGAAAACCTCCCAAGAACCTAGGAAGGAGGGATTATCTGTCACATGTTACTGAGAAGGAATCTGGACTCAAGGAGGTGGACTGTACCGGCTCCAGGTCCCAAAGTGAGTTAAGTGGGTGCACTCTTTTTGCTGTGGCAGCTGCCCATGCCCTTCTCATGCCCACTGGCACAATGACACCCCCAAGACACACCCTCTACACTTGTTGAGATTCTTCCCAACATAAACCCCATTTCCTCCATGAAGCCTGCCCTGATTGCTCCAGGACATTCTCTGCCTAGCAGTTTCTGTTGCAAGGCAGACTGAGTTGGAGGTTGGTGTGCAGACATGAGAAGATTCTTGAACTCAGTACCTGCTTCGGGGAGGAAAGGAAGGAAGCAGGATTGAGCAGAGGAAGAACTTAGCTGTGATGTTGTTGCAACAGTGGCCTCCCAGAGAGAGTGATGAAGCTGGGTTTGACCTTCAGAGTTGTCCAGTGTTGGGACAAGAGGGCTGGGCCTTTGAGCAGCCTCCCCCCTTAGAGTGACATTGCATGGTGGCTGCCCCTGAGGGGTGGGCAGATCCCAGAAAGTGCGGCAAGCTGAGGTCCCTCATTGGGCAGCACTCCCAGCAGCTGGGGTGGCAAGGCTATAGGTTGGATCTTCAGCCCGGAAAGGGGATCTTGGTGGCTAATCCCAGTGTCCACTGGGTGCCCAACTTTGGAGCTGCTCATTCATGTTCATCCCAGATCCAGATCCAGCCCCTGGCCTTGGAGGAGGGGCTTGGGCAGCAACCCTGGGTTTGAGGCCACACTTTAAGACTCATCCAAGGGGCTGGCCTGGTGGCATAGTGGTTAAGTTCATGCACTCTGCTTCGGTGGCCTGGAGTTCACTGGTTCAGATCCCAGGCACAGACCTAGCACCGCTCATCAAGCCATGCTGTGGCAGGACTCCCACATATAAAATAGAGGAAGATAGGCACAGATGTTACTCAGGGCCAATCTTCCTCAGCGAAAAGATGAGGATTGGCGGCAAACATTAGCTCAGGACTAATCTTCCTCACCAAGAAATTTTTACAAAAAGACTCCTCCAAGCCTGAGGACGTAAGGAGGCTGCGAGGCGGGCTCTCCCCGAAATGCCCTGCACCCATCCTCACCTGTGCAGTGGCGTCCAGACGCTGAGCATCTCGGTGTCCGAGCCCAGGGATGCTGCCAGAAATGGTCACGGCCCGGCCAAGAGAGAATGGTGATGACAGCTCTTGTCATTCGATTCTCACTGAGTGGCATGCTCTGGCTGAGCATATCCCATCCATTATCTCATTCATGCCCGCACCTCCCTGAGAGGTGGGGTCTTTTATGAGCCCCAGGGACAAACAGGAAACAGGGTCAAAGACAGGAAGGTCCGGCCTTAGACCCTTCTGGTAGAGAGTGGCTGAGCTCCGGAGACCTCAAAACCCAGGAAGCATGACTTTGCCAGGAGACTTTATATTAACCCTTTGCACACATTCTTCCATTTGCCCTCCAGAGGGACACTAACTCTCCCTCCCGCCAGCTCCTCGGAGGCCAGCACCACTTTAACCCGTTCCCTCCCAGAGTCAACAGTGGCATGGGCCTGGGTGCTGCTTCCTGCTGGTGGACCTGGCGATTTGGGTCTTGTGGATAAGTCGGACACCCCCCCAGTCCTCCTCCAGCTTGATGTCCCCCTGCTGCAGGGCCTGCTGGATGGCATCAGCAAGGGTGTCAAAAGCCAGATCCACGTTGCAGTTATTTTTGGCTGAGGTCTCCAGGAAGGCCATGCCCAGGGAGGTGGCCAGTTCCTCTGCCTCCTGAGCCGAGACACAGCGGGTGCTCTGCAGGTCACTCTTGTGGCCAACCAGCAGGAAGATGGCCTTGTCGGGGCCACGAGTGGCCATGACCTCCTGGTGCCAGTCTGGGATGTGTTCAAAGGACTTCCTGTTTGTCACATCAAAGACCAGCAGGACACCCACCACGTTCCGGTAGAAGGACCTGGTGATGCACCTGGTGGGGTTGAAGAGTGCATTGGAAGAGGCTGATGCCTTCCAGACACCCCCAGAAGCAGGACCCCCATCCCCTGACTGCCTCATCCCCCCAGATAGCTCATTTCACACCGTCCTGTGCTTTTGTTCCCCATATTCGGTGTCTGTGTCTGTCCCACAAGACTGCGTCCTCCCCAGTTAGGGAGCGGGTGTGATTCACACACCCTCCTGCCCATTCCTCCGCTCCCTCTCCTGAAGCCTGATGTTTTCCTGAAACAAAGCTGGTCTTTGTTTCGCATTCTTTGCCTGGCAAACTCCTCCGCATCCTTCAAGGCCAAGATCCATCTCTCTTCCTTTTCTGTCTCTGGGACGCCTCCCTTTCTCTGCCTCTGTGGGCTCTCTCAGCACCCGGGTCATTCATCCCTCCAGCTTTCAACGTCCAGATCTTCCCACCCCTCCCCCCGAGGCCTGGCGGTCCCTTTAGGGCGGCACCAGGTCTCAGGGTCCTGCTCAGGGCCTTGGCTCCCCCAGCCGTAGTTGGAGGATGACTGTCTCAGAGTGAAGGACCAGAGACCCAGGGCAGGGACCCCTAGAGCTCTCCTTGGGCCTCTGAGGTTGGCTCTTCTGAGGGACCCCCTGGCCGGGAGGACGGGCATCGACGCCCTCAGTCGGGCCCACCCCCCGGCCCACGGCCCCGCACCTGTAGCGCTCGTGGCCCGCCGTGTCCCAGAGCTGCAGCTTGACGCGCGGCCCGGCCGGCAGCTGCAGCGCGCGGCTGTAGAACTCGACGCCCACCGTGGGCGGCTCCGCCTCGGGCTCGGGCTCCGGCTGCGGGGCCCCGGGCGCGCCCGCCACGTAGCGCCGCAGCAGCGACGTCTTGCCCACGGCCGCGTCCCCCAGCAGCGCGATCCGGAACTGGTAGAGGCAGCCCCCAGCCTCCATGGCCCGCGGCTCGCCTCCCGGCCGCCCGCCCCGGGCCGTCGGTCCGCCCCGCCCCGCCCCGGGCCCTCCCCCGCGCCAGGCCACTGAGCGGTCACCGCGGCGCGGGGGACAGTGGAGCAGAGGGCGCCCCGGGCCCGAGGAAGCTGGCCAAGTCGCTTCCTCTCTCTGAGCCTCAGTTTTCTTCTCTGTAAAACAGGGATAACGATGACCCCTGCTTCAGAGGACAGAGAGATTCAGCGAGACGCCCGGGAGGAGGGTTGGGGAGGCTCGGGAACGAGAGCATCCGCTGCACTGGCTCACTCGCTGGGATGGTGTCTCTCTCCAGCCCCCCTCTCCTCTTAATTCCCCAGGTGGGCCCCTGCTCAGGGACCTGGCGACGCCTCTCCAGAAAGCTGATGGTATACAGATGCTCCCTCCCCACCCAGCTGCCCTTTTCCCGGAGCCCATTGGCCCTGGCCTGGGGCCTCCTTTTCAACGTTCAGGGTCCATGTTCAACAGCCCCCACGGCTTCCTCCCGGGGCCCAGACAGGGACTTGGACACTTGGGGGAGGAGGCAGGACAGACAGACAGCTGAGATTCCAGAGGGAGTGCAGTTGGCCTGTGGACTGGACAGCTGGAATTTATGAGGCCGGGTAGTCAGTCCCTTATGCTTTGGGGGCAGCAACCCTTTGAGAGCGTCATAGTGGGCCCATTTTAGAACTGAGGAGACTGAGGCTCAGCTGTGTGGTTTGTCTCAGGTCACACAGCAGAGCTGGGACTTACGCTGGGGTTTATCTCACTCTTCATTACCCCCTTGAGGCCACAGAAGAGGCCTGCAAATCAGATCACAAGAGGACCAAGTCTCGGTGGTCAGGACCCACTTGGGTTAGGGGCAAGGGCAAGGGAGGCACCTTTGCTTCTAAGATCCACTCCACCCTTGCCAGTCTGGCCTCTGGAGACGCAGGGCATCAAGGCTGGCGTTCTGGCTGGTCCCAAACAGCTCATCTATTAGTTTAATCCCACTATGCCACTCTGGGTAGATTTTACCGGGTTAACTTGTTTTGGCAAATTGGAGGAGGGGGGTAACCCTCACTGTCACAAACCATCACAACATCACATTTCCTCCCCACACAACCTTGTGAGTAGGTGTTGTTATTCTGCTAATTTCTTTTTTTATTCTTGGAAGATTGGCGCTGAGCTAACATCTGTTGCCAATCTTCCTTTTTTTGCTTGAGGAAAATTGTTGCCAAGCTGTCATCCGTGCCAATCTTCCTTTACTTTATGTGGGACGCTGCCACAGCGTGGCTTGACGAGCCATGCTAGGTCTGCACCTGGGATTCGGGCCTGCGAATCCTGGGCTGCTGAAGTGGAATACTTGATCTTAACCACTATGCCACCGGGCCAGCCCCTATTGTGCCAATTTTTACAGACGAGAAGACTGAGGCTCAGAAAAGTTAAACCAGCCCAAGGTCACTGAGCAGGGAGAACTGAGACTAGCTCCCAAGTCCATCCAAGGCCAAAGCCTTGTTTGCTATTTCTGTTTCCGGCCAGACAGGTGGGGGATCTGGGAAGGGCTAGTTTTCTTCTGGCTAACTCGAAATAAAACAGTGAGAAGCCATTTTGTCAGGTCTCCAGGTAATCGCGGCAACTAGTCACCTGCATGGTAGAGCCTGAAGGGGTCCAAGTCTCTGCTCGCCCCCCACCTCCAGGAGTAGGAGAGACCAGGAACCACGAGGAGCCTCCAGAAGGGTGTGTGTGTTGGGGAGGAATCTCCCTGCCAGCTCTGCCCGAACCACTCCCACCTGCCCCACGGATTCCTCCGTTGGGATGGTCTCCTCGCCTTACTCAGTTCAGCTGGATACTTTTTGCATGAGGCCCGTGTGGATGCCCCCAGCCCCTACTTTACCTCCCGCTGGTACTCTGAGCTCTATCCGTTCTGGGCATCTCTCCTCTTCTCAGCCCTCTGCCAGGAACACTCCTCTTTTGCTCTTCACACCCCTACTTCTGGCCTCAGAAAGCCCCTCACTGACTGGCCAATGAGGTCACATGCCCTTTTGTCCACTGTGATGTCTCCCTGCTAGGCTCAAGCCCCTGGAGGGCAGGGACCAATGGTTGTATCCTCAGCACTTGGCACAAAGTAGGAACTCAATATTTATGATTGAATGAATGAATGAAAGTGAATAAGTGCCATTCATTCATTCACTCATTATTCATTCAAATACGATAGACCTAGACTCAGGGAGCTGCAGGGACAGAGAAGGACTCTTGGAGGAGGTGATGCTCAAGCAGGGTCTCCAAGGATAAGGGGGAGCTGGGAGGTCAGGGAGGAAGGGCGCTGCAGGCAGTGGTGGCTGGGCAAAGGCAGAGAGGCATGAAACAGCTTGAAATGCAGTCTGAACCCAGCCTTCCCAGAAGCCTCCGTGGTTAGCACATGTGGGCAGTGTGCACTGTCAGCATCTGACTCCTTGAACTTCCTCTCCTGGATGCTCCTGCTGGGGGCTGGGGTCATGTGTCTGCCTCCGACTGCACCTGGCAGCCAAATCCAGATGTCAGCTGACCTTGCCATAGACTCACTATGTGACCCTGGGGAAGAAGTCATTTCTCCTCTCCAACCCTACTTCCTGTTCTGCCAAGTGAGGCGAATCATGGCGCCCACTTCACAGGGTAGTTCTGGAAGAACTGTGTAACACAGCAGGCAAGGTTATGCACATTTTGCATTAGACAGATCTGGGTTTTAGTTCCAAGTGCCACTTACTAGCTATGTGGCCTTGGCCAGGGCTGATTCATTAATTAATTCATTCACTTACTAATTATTTCAATAAATGCTGCCTATCTCTGACACACTGGGCACTTACATAGCTTGGCAAGCCATGCTGTGGTAGGCGTCCCACATATAAAGTAGAGGAAGATGGGCATGGATGTTAGCTCAGGGCCAGTCTTCCTCAGCAAAAAAAAAAAAAAAAAAAAGGGAAGAAGAAAAGACACAATTCCTGTTCTTGGGGAGCTCACATTTTAATGAGGAAGACAGAAAATGAATACATATATAATGTGATGCCAGGGGGCAAGAAGTGCTATAGGGGCTGGCCCCATGGCCAAGTGGTTAAGTTTGCAAGCTTCGGCGGCCCAGGGTTTCGCCAGTTCGGATCCTGGGTGCAGACATGGCACCGCTCATCAAGCTGTGCTGAGGTGGCATCCCACATGCCACAACTAGAAGGACCCACAACTAAAAAAATATACAACTATGTACTGGGGGGCTTTGGGGAGAAGAAGAAGAAAAAAAGAAGATTGGCAACAAACGTTGGCTCAGGTATGAATCTTAAAAAAAAATTTTTTTCTTGTTTACTTTTTTGTTACATCTTTATTGTGGTATAATTGACACACAATAAACTGTACATATTAAAAATGTACAATATGATGAGTTTTGACATGTGTACACACATGAAACCATTACCACAATCAAGATAATGAACATCTATCACCCCCAAAAGTTTCCCCATGTCCTTTTTTGATTCTTCTCTCCTGACCTCCCCCTCCCAGGCAACCACTAATCTTTCCACCACAGGAGATTAGTTTATATTTTCCAGAAATGAAATCATACAGTATGCAGTCTTTGTCTGGTTTCCTTCACTCCACAGCATTAAGATTTCTCCATTTTGTTGCATGTATGAAGTTTGTTCCTTTTCATAACTGAGTAGTATTCCACTGTATGAATATACTGCAAGTTGTTTATCCAATCCCCTGTTGAAGGACATTGCGTGGTTTCCAGTCTGGCTATTACAAATAAATGTGCTATGAACATTCATGTTCAAGTCTTGGCATGGATGTATGCTTTCATTTCTCTTGGGAGATACTGCGTAGTGCAATGTTGTGTCATATGGTGGGTGCATATTTTACTTTTTTAGAAACCGCCAAACTGTTTTCAAAAGTGGTTGTACCATTTTACAGTTCTGAACACTGTATGAAGATTCCAGGGGCCAGCCTTGTGGCATAGTGGTTAAGTTCACACGGTCTGCTTTGGCAGCCCAGGGGTCACAGGTTTGGATCTCAGGCACAGACCTACACACCACTCACCAAGCCACGCTGTGGTGGCATCCCACATACCAAATAGAGGAAGGTTGCATAGATGTTAGCTCAGCGACAATCTTCCTCACCAAAAAATAAATAAATAAAAAACCCAGAAAGTTCCAGTTGCTCCACTTTCTTATCACTTGATATTGTCAACCTTTTTAATTTTTAGCCATTCCAATGAGTTTGTAGTGTTATCTCACTGTAGTTTTAATTTGCATTTCCCTAACGATTGATAATGTTGATCATCATTTCATGTATTTATTTGCCATCTGTTTATCTTCTTTGGTGAACTGTCTTTCAAATTTTATGCTCTTTTTTTTAATTGAGTGGTTTCACTTTTTATTGTTGACTTTTAAGAATTTTTATGTTCTAGATGCAAGTCCCTTGTTGGATATATGTTTTGCAAATATTTTCCCCCAGTTTGTCTCTTGCTTTTATTTTCTTAGCAATGTCATTTGAAAATCAAGAGTGGGGTCTGGCCCCATGGCCCAGTGGTTAAGTTCGCATGCTCCACTTCTGGCGGCCCAGGGTTTCACCGGTTCGAATCCTGGGTGTGGACATGGCGCCGCTCATCAAACCATACTGAAGCGGCATCCCACATGCCACAACTAGAAGGACCCACAACCAAAACTACACAACTATGTACTGGGGGGCTTTGGGAAGAAAAAGGAAAAATAAAATCTTTAAAAAAAAGAAAATCAAGAGTTTTTAATTTTATAAAATGTCACTTATTAATTCAACATTGTATTGGAGGTGCTAGCCAGTACTATACAACAAGAAAAAGAAATAAAAGGCATCTAGATTAGGAAGGAAGAAATAAATCTGTCTATTCACAGACGTGAAAAATCCTAAGGAACTTACAAAAAAGCCACTAGAACTAATAAGTGAACTATAAGAATGAAGTAGCAAGGCTGCAGGATGAAGTCAATATGCAAAAATTAACTCTATGTCTATATACTAGCAATGACCATTTGGAATTTGAAATTGACAAAAATAATACCACTTATAATAGCATCAAAAATATGAAAAACTTAGGAACAAATCTGACAAAAGACATCTAAGATGCAAGATCCATACACTGAAAATTACAAAATGTTGTTGAGTGAAATTAAAAATCACTTAAATAATGAAGAGATATGCCATCCTCAAGGATGAGAAGACTCAATATTGTTAAGATGTGAATTCTCCCCAAATTCATCTACAGAATCAATGCAATACCAGCCAAATCCCAGTAGGCTTTTTAAAAGATACAAATTAGGTGATACTAAAATTTATATGGAAATGCAAAGGATTCTGAATAGCTGAAACAATTTTGAAAAAGAACAAAGTTGGACGACTTACATTACCCTATTTCAAGACATTAAAAAGCTACAGTAATCAAGACAGTGTAGTTTTGAGTATAGAAACAGACCTACACATGTGGTCATTTGATTTTTAACAAAGGGGACAAAGCAATTAGGCGGAAAAAGATAATCTTTTCCACAAATGAAGATGGAACAATTAGATAGCCATATGCAATAAACAAATAAACCTTGACTCGTACCTCACATCATACACAAAGATTAACTCAAAATGAATCATAGATCTAAATGCAAGAGCTATAACTATTAAACTTCAGGAAGAAAACAGGAGAAAATCTTAACGTCTTTGAGTTGGGCAAAGATCTTAAAAATAGGGCATAAAAAGCACAAACTACAAAAGAAATCAATCAGTATATTGGACTTCATCAAAATTAAAAACGTTTGTTCTTTGACGTCCTGGCTGGTGTGTTGAGACCAGGCTGGAGGGGCCAATGGCAGAATCAGGGAGACTGCTGTGCTCTTGTGGGTCAGTGATAATGATGGCATCACTGAAGGTGATAAGAAGTGATCTGATTCTAGACGCATCTAAAGGTGGGGAACACAGGATTTGCTGACGGATTGGATGTGGGATGCTAAAGAGAGCAGCCCAGTGGCACTCCAAGGACTTACTGAGCAGGGGAAGAGCAGGTTGGCGGAGGAAAGGCTGTGTTCTGAGAGGCCTATTTATCAGACATCCGAGTGTCCATGCCAAGGAAGCAGCAGGATGTAAGGTCTGGAGCTCAGGAGAAAAGCGGGGGTGGAGAAACAGATTTAGAAGTCATCAAAAAGTTTCTTACCTTTCAGTCTGTCGCCTTCTCCATAAAATGGGAATAATAGTAGTGCCTGCTTTTTAAAGTGCATGTAAGGATAAACATTAATAAATAGATTAAGCACAGAGAGGAGCTTAGCTCCTGACACGTACCCTTTGCTTTTACACTGACACTTACTCATCCCGTGGACAAAACGTGCCCACGGCACAGTGATTATGCGCGTGGTCTCTGCGGCGGACTTCCAGATGCCAGCTCTCACCTCGCTCGCTAGCTGTGCGATCCATTCCTCAGTTTCCTTGTCTGTAAAAAGGGCATAATTATAATACCTAAATACAGGATTATTACGAAAACTAGCTGAGATAATCGAGCAGTTTAGTTAGTTAGCACTCGGTAAAGTTACTTATCTATTAGAAAAGAGTCAAGCTTTGAACAAAAACGCATTCATCTCCCGTGAGTAATCAATCGGCGCTTCCTCCCCGGGACCTCCCTCTAAGCGGACCGCACAGAGCCCCTCCTGGAACGGCCTCGGCGGCTGCCGCTCCGCGCGCCCACGGCGGTCTGAGCCCAGCCCTCCTCAGCTCACAGAGCTAACTTCCCGACTTTGAAAGTCTTCTCAGACTGAACCCCAGAGAGCACGGCGGGTCTCATTCATCTGGGAGCCCAGCGCTCCGTGCGCAATATTGAGTGAGTGCTGAACGGAGGGCGACGACCGTCTTCCGACCCTTAAGGCACCTTTCACGCGGTTCCTCCACCACCTGTGAAAGCAGCCCCGCGCGCGCGTCGGGCTGGGAACCGGACGCGCCTCCCGACGCCAGAAGGCGAATGGACTACAACTCCCAGCGGGCTGTGCGACGCGCTGCTCCAATTGTCAGGCGCGCCGCGAGGGGCAGGGTCTATATAAACCCCCTGCCGATGCGCGAGCGTCCTTTCTCCCGGCCGCCGCGTTCTGGGTGTTTTTTCTTTTTGGGAGGCCGGCCTGCTGCCATGCAAACCTATCCCCCGCCGCACCCCGCTGTAGCCTCGCCGCCTCCAACCCTGCCCTCGCCGGGGCTGCCTCCCGAGGCTGCGGGATGCTGAGCGTCACACGGGGAGCCGGGCCTGCCAGCCTGCTGGGGCCGAGGTGCGGGATCCACGTCGGCCACATGCGCAGTGAGAGTGGCCAGAACCCGTCAGGGTGACGCCCTTCTCCCGCCTTGGCCTGCGCGGCCCTGCGCCCCGGTGACGGGTGAGTAACGCGGCCGTGTGCGCGGCAGTGCTGAGCCTGACGTGGCTGGATTTGGGGGAGGCCGCGTGGTGGTGTCAGCCTGACCTTCGATTGAATCTATCTGTGACAGCTACCTGCTGGGTGACCTTGGGCGAGGGACTTCACCCAAATTATCTGGCTGCACAGCACACGTTAAGGAGGTCACCCTGGTGGATATAGGGACAAGATTTTTTGGAGGATGGGTTTAGAGTTATTCAGGTCCTATTTTGAATCCCAGTTTTATCACTGTCTGTAGTGATAGGCGACCTTCATTCAGGAACTTAATTGATCTAAACTTCATGTCTGTAAAATGGGGATGATAAAATGGTGCTGTGAAGATTAAATGAGACAAAACGCTGGCACATAGTAAAATGAAGTGGTAATGGGGAACTGTGGGATGTCTGTACTCTTTTTTGGTCTCCAGAATGTCCCGGTAGATGCACAGGATCTAGGTGAGTCTGAGGGCTGAAGAGCCCTTGGGGCTGTCGTGTGACCTGGATTGCCCTGTGGCCCTTATCGAAGCTGCAGCTGCTTCCACATAGCTGCTGTGGTCAAAAAGGAGCCCAAAGTGACAGTTTTCCTCGACGGTCGCCGTTCTGTTTGCTGTAACTGATCTGCAACATTTCAGGAAAAGACAGTTCCCCTTGTACTTGCCATTTCTCTGGTATAGACAGAGAGCTTTACTAGAATTGACGTTTCCAGAGGCCAGCAGAAATGTTCCGTTGGTGGGGTCTCGCATGTAGAGTTAACAGAATAAGGCCTTCGAGAAGTAGCGTGCCAAGGCCAAGACAGTATGGAGGCAGATGGGAATGGGTTGGATGTCTGTACTGGGAAAATCCAGCGGCAAGTCATTGCCCGCTTAAGGCATCAGTACCTGGACCAAAGATCAGTCAAACCTTTATGATTCTGAAGAGCAGATGAAGGGAACAATAAGATCACTCAGGACCACTGTTCCCACCCTAGCTGTGCCAGATGGAGACTGCAGGATGACTGAAGTTGCTTTCTGGTGAGTGAGGACTCGGGTCTTGACAGCGATGGAGCACAGCAGCCTCAGGACCAGGTAGGTTTCTTGTGGAGACTTAATTTGGGAGCTACCTGGCGGGTCAGAACAGCATGTTTCCAAGGGCTGTGGCTGGTTGTAGCCATGGGATCTCCAACTGCATGCAAGAACAACCTGGAGAGACTTTGACAGCTCAGGTCACCATAATACCTGCAGCTGCCACTCGCCTTTCCTATAACACCTCAGGCCTGGGCTGGAAGCCTTCTCCCCGAGGCCAGGTGTTTGCGTTAACTTCCATGTATATGGGTATATCGGGTCAACTTTTTGGTTTAGAGCTTTCTCGCTTTTTTCTGCAGGTTGCTTCAAGTTTCCTGGCGGTATCTGATAATGAAGAATCTGAGGATGCCAGCTTGCTGCTATTGCTGTGCTTTAGAATAAGGTACAGTTAGATGTTGAGGTCAGCCTGCCCCTCCGGTTCCCTTTCCCATCGGATCTGAACTCTGGTCTTGGTGGTCGTAAAAGGAGGAAAAGTAATGCTGAAGCTGGCCTCACGGCGCTTGTAGTCTGCTATAGAGCATGTGGGCTAGTTTCACACAAGGTTGAATTCTCTCTGAACTTATTTTCTTCTCCCATGGTAAAATGGGATAATTTGAGGTTTACAGGGAGGATGTATGTGAGGCCCTGGGAGGCTGGTGTGGTGACTGCTGTTGTTTCTCTATTTGGGAGGGGTTCATCAATGGCCTTCTTGTCTCTTGATGGTGTACCTTTTTTTAGAGTGTTACCAGGAAGCTGTGTTCATCTGTGATTGTGGATCCAGAGAACTGGGTAAGTTAGTGACTACCTGAAGCTTTATCACAACTTCCTTGGAGTTTCAGGTAGTGCTTTACTGTCGTGAGCCCTAAGCAGTGCAGTAAATAGATGTCACTCGGGTCTGTGTAAAAATCTTGGCGTTTTAATACATCATTTATATCTGGCCTTCCCTTGTGTGCCATATTTGTTAGCTGCTCATGGCCAGAGAACAAAAGTAAATGTTTGCAGATTTGCCCACCGTTGAGGCCAAGAGCACATCCTGCTGTGAGTAGAATGCAGCAGAGGGGACAGCCCTGCACTTTTGGCAGCAAGGGCTGGTTGCCGTGAATGTGCTGTAGTGGCTTGGGCTCATGCTCCCTTGTCTGGGGTGACCTCAAACCATGGAGTCTTTACCCCCCCGCCCCTGCAGGCAGAGTGGGAGATGGATTAGGTAGAAACAGTTCCATCTGGCTCAGGGTATTTTTTTTAGGGTGACTGGTCCAGGATGAAACCTAATCTGAATGGACATCTATGGATGATAGATGCGGATATGGGACTGAGACCAGCTTTTAGGAAAATGTCTGGGTGGCACTGATTAATTGGGGCAATACTAACACACTGGCTTATACTTCCTTTACAGGAGAGAAGTGGTACAAGAAGAGGCAAGCTAAGACAACAGGTTATTTTAGGTGGGAATGGTGACTTTTTTTTTTTGTTTGCTAATGCTGGTACATGGCATCTAAATGACCAATAAAAGACTATGAAAATATGTTTGTCAGTTTTCTTTCTTTTTTTTGAGGAAGATTAGCCCTGAGCTAACATCTGTGCCCATCTTCTCTACTTTATATGTGGGACACCTGCCACAGCATGGCTTGACAAGCAGTGTGTAGGTCTGACCGCACCCAGGATCCAAACCGGCGAGACCCTGGGCCACTGAAGCAGAACAGTGTGAACTTAACCACTGTGCCACTGGGTTGGCCCATTAATGTCTCTCACATTGTTGGTTTTTCTGTATCTAAATACTCCTTTAGACCCAAGCTGAATTAGTCTTTTTTTTTTTCCTTCTCCCCAAAGCCTCCCCAGAACATAGTTGTATATTCTAGTTGTTCCTTCTGGTGGTGCCATGTGAGATACCACCTCATCATGGCTTGATAGTGGTGCTAGGTCTGGGTCCAGGATCTGAACAGGCAAAACCCCAGGCTGCCAAAGTGGAGTGTGTGAACCCTGAACACTTGGCCACTCGGCTGGCCCCTGAATTATAGTCTTAATCTCTTCATAAAAAAAGGCTGTCCTTTCAGGACAGTCTGATCAATTCCATAACTGCAATTCCATGTATTTCTCCTTTGCTGAGTGTAGGATTGGTGCATCCTTAAGGATCTTTGAAGGTTTCTTGTGGCATAGGCAGTTTGCCTCAAGCTCTACCCACCTCCCCATTCCTCTAGCATAGAATGAGATCAGATGCAGATTTCTAGCATAGACCCAGACTTTTCAAGAGGGTCCTGGGTACTGGAGATGACAATATAAGTTGGAAAGTGGGATTTCCTGATTTGGAAAATAGAAATGTGTAGAAGGTTGGCATAGGTCTGGTTTAATACCAACTGACTTTCGTCAAGGTCAAGTTATTTTTCTGAGCCACCATTTCTTAGATGTAAATAAATTCATACCTATTCAATGCATTTAGGTAATTAAGATCAACACCGGTGGGCCTGGCACAGAGATGGCACAGTAATGCCCCTCAACAGGCTTGTCCTTAAAACAGTCTAGGCCCTTGCAAACCTACACCTGGTCAGGGAGCAAGCGCCAAGTCTTGCGCCTTTTGGTCTAGATTTAGCTGACTCCACTTCCTGCTACATGCTGGGCCAGGCAACTTCCATCCTGGCTGGAATGCCTGATGAAGTCTTTACCAGCCACCAGCCTTGACGCAAGTTTGTTGGAGGGAACGAGGTACCTGAAAAGGCAGATAAAACTGTCCACCATTTGACCTGGTGCGGGTAATCCATGCATCCTGACCCCAAAGAACCTTAAGGACTAGGGTGCCTACCACCTGAGAAGGGCCCCTGGGTTTAGAAAGATGTGATCCACTTTGGTTAATTCCAAACTGTTCTTATCTCCAAGGGTAGATAACCCTACTGGATAAATGATTGTTCAAGGACAAATTGGAACCTTGTTCATCAGTCCTCTTCAACAGTTGGCCCCTTGATTTTCATTTAAAATCAAAGGGCTCCCTATCAAATGAAGGCAACAAGTGTTGCAGGAATATTCATAATCTCAGGAAACAGTCAATTACCAAAATCTTACAAAACGTAAAAATGTAAAAGTTCTTGGAATTTTTTTTTCTTTTTTAAAAGTCTCTTATATCCCTCACATAGTCCATTCTGGCTTTTCCTTTGTCCTTGCTACATCATGGCGGGGATCTCTGAAGACACTGTGTCCAGGGGCTGCCAATGACAGTCCATCAGTGCATCGTATAGCTCCTCGCTCTGCTCCATGAACTCCTTGTTGGCCTCAGTCACATCCAGCTGCGGCATGGGGTCTGGAAGAGAAGCAAGGATGCGTTTAGGGAGCGCCAAGGGGAGAAGCACTCAGCAACCCCAAGAGACTTGGGTTCAGTTCTCTACTCCCAGGACTTCCTGTTCCCTGGGGCAAGTTCCCTCGTTCCTTACAGGGGCTGATACCACTGCCTAGCAGGGTTCCTGTGAGGACGGAAATAGGATAATATGTACTTAGAGAATGAAACGTAGTTACTATTCAAGTAATGGCAGTTGTTACTCCACATTTATTAAAAGCTACACCTGTACCTCTACCATCACATGCCCTGGATCTTCTAGTGTGGTCCTTATTTCAATTTTGGGTTTGGAAAACCTGATCAAAATTACTAAGTCCAAAGCACTATTCCTAGAATATTACACAGCATTGAAAATGAACCTCAGCTGCACACAACTTGGATGGATCTCACAAATAACATGCTGTGTGTTAAATGAAAGAAGCAAGACAGTACCTACAGTATGACTGCATTTATAAAGTTCAAAAATAAACCTAGAGTTTAGGGATTCATATCTAGGAAATAAAACTATAAAGAGAAGGAAGAAAATGGTTACCACAAAAAACTACAGTCCTTTTCCCTAGTAGGGTTCTAAGTTGTGACTGGGGGAAGGATGGCTTCTGAGGGCTGGCAATGTTCTACCTGACCTGAATGAAGGTTTCATGGGCAATCACTTTATAATTACATATTAAACTATAGATTTATTTTATGTACTTTTCCATACGTGTGTTATATTTCACAATAAAAGTTAAAAAAAAAACAATCACTATCACTGATAACATTTTATACCTTTCCTTTTAGTTTTGTTTGTGTAGGTTTAAAATGTATACACACAAACACACCATTCATTAAAACACACATTTAAAAACTAACTGAAGAGCCCGGCCCTGTGGCTGAGTGGTTGGGTTCGCGTGCTCCACTTCGGCAGCCCAGGGTTTCGCCGTTTCGGATCCTGGGTGCAGACATGGCACCGCTCATCAGGCCATGCTGAGGCAGTGTCCCACCTCAGCACAACCAGAAGGACCTACAACTAGAATATACAACTATGTTCTTGGGGGGGGCTTTGGGGAAAAGAAGAAGAAGAAGAAAAAAGAAGGTTGGCAGCAGATGTTAGCTCAGGTGCCAATCTTAAAAAAAACAAAACACACAACTAACTGGAAAATTAAAGAAGACCTAAATAAATAGACAGACATCCCATGTACTTGGATTGGAAGACAATATTGTTAAGATGGCAATATTCCCCAAATTGATCTATGGATTCAATGCAATCCCTACCAAAATTGTAGCTGCCTTTTTTTTTTTTTTTTTTGCAGAAAATGACAAGCTGATCATAAAATTTATATGGAAATGAAAGGGACCCAGAATAGCCAAAACAATCTTGAAAAAGAACAAAGTTCAAGGACTCACACTTCTCCATTTCAAAATTTACTCCAAAGCTACAGTAATAGAAACTGTGTGGCAGTGGCTTAAGGACAGACATATAGATCAATGGAATAGGATTAAGAGTCTAAAACCAAACCTATACATTTGTGGTAAACTGCTTTTCAGCAAGGGTACCAAGACAATTCAATGGGTAAAGAACAATCTTTTCAACAAATGGTGTTGGGACAACTGGATAACCACATGCAAAAGAATGAAGCTAGACCCTTACCTCACACCTTACACAAAAATTAACTAAAAATGGCCCAAAGACCTAAATGTAAAGGCTAAAGCTATAAAACCCTTAAAAGAAAACAGGAGTAAACAGGCAATGATTTCTTAGATATGACACCATAAGCACAAGCAACAAAAGAAAAAAGTAAATCGGACTTCACATAAATTTAAAACTTTGGTGCTTCAGGGCTGGCCATGTGGCCGAGTGGTTAAGTTCTCATGCTCCACTTTGGTGGCCCAGGGTTTCACTGGTTCAGATCCTGGGCGTGGACCTAGCACCACTCATCAAGCCGTGCTGAGGTGGCATCCCACATAGCACAACTAGAAGGACCTAGAACTAGAATATACAACTATGGACTGGGGGGCTCTGGGGAGAAGAAAGGTGCTAATCTTTAAAAAATAAAACTTCAGTGCTTCAAAGGACATTATCAAGTGAAAAGATAACTCATGGAATGGGAGAAATAATTTGCAAATCCTATGGCTGATAAGGGACTAGTATCCAGAAGAGAATATAAAGAACTCTTATAATTCAACAATAAAAAAGACAACCTAATTTAAAAATGGGGGAAGGACTTAGACATTTCTCTATAGATATACACATGGCCCAAAAAAAAAAAAGGGGCCAGCCCCGTGGTCAAGTGGTTTGTGCGCTCCGCTTCAGCAGCGCAGGGTTTCGCTGGTTTGGGATCTGGGGCACGGACATGGCATCGTCAGGCCGTGCTGAGGCGGCATCCTACATGCTACAACTAGAAGGACCCACAACTAAAATACACAACTATGTACCGAGGGGATCTGGGGAGAAAAAGTAGGAAAACAAAAAAAAGAAGATTGGCAACAGTTGTTAGCTCAGGTGCCAATTTGTAAAAAAAAAAAAAAAAAGGAAGAAGATATACCCATGGCCAACAAGCATAGGAAGGTGGCCAATAAGCACAGGAAAAGATGCTCAACACTATTAGCCCCCAGGGGAATGCAAATCAAAACCACAATGAGCTACCACTGCAAATCCACCAGAATGGCTATAATGAGAAAGAGTAACAACTGCTGGTGAGGATGTGGGGAAAATGGAACCTTCATATACTGTTGGTGGGAATGGAAAATGATGCAGCCCTTTTGGAAAAGTCTGGCAGTTTCTCAAGTTGTTAAACACAAGAGTTTTACCACAAGATCCAGCAATTCCACTCCTAGGTATGTACCCAAGAGTAATGAAAACTTTTCTATGCCCACACAAAAACTTAGACGAATGTTCACAGCAGCATTATTCATAATACCAAAAGCATAGACAACCCAAATGTCCATCAACAAAATGGATACTCATACAATGGAATATTATTTGGCCATAAAAAGGAATGAAGTAATGATACCTGCTACAACATGGATGAACCTTGAAGACATTGTGCTAAGTGGCACATTCACAGAGGAACACACATTATATATGATTACATTTATTTAAAACATCCAGAGCAGGTAAATCCAAAGAGACAGAAAGTAGCTGAATGGCTGCCAGGAGCAGGAGGGAAAGGGCATATGGAGAATGCCTGCTGAAGGTTACAGGGTTTCTTCTGGAATTACAAAGT